GCTTGACTTATGAGTGTCCCGACTAACGAGTTTTTCGAGATACGAGCCGTCTCTCAGCCGATTTTTTGCTTTGAGTTGTGAGCTAAAATTTGGGTTATGAGCCAGCTTCAGATACCCCACCGCTAGTTGGCGCAGCGAACGTCACAGTGAACGACACAACATCAGCCCAGCCTCACGTGTCTCACTCGTTCACTTTAATGATTTGACATACGAGTAACTTGAGTTACGAGCTCGGTCACGGAATGAATTAAACTCGTAAGTCAAGGCCCCACTGTATATTGTTCATCTTCTATGTATTTTAGTGATTAAAATTTTCTTTTTAAATGCACCTTAATACTGGACAATGAAGTATCAAGTACTTTTACTAGTAAGGCTCAAAATTGTCATTAAAAAGCAGGGGGTACATAATTTGTAGTTTTCCTAAAATAAAACACTTTTTTAATTCCAATTCCTTCCATGAGTTAAAGTAACAAACATGAGAAAAACATAAAAAGAAATTCAAACACAAACAGCCACTTACATTGGAGCCTTCCTTGGCTGAAGATTTGAAATGCACTGGTTTGGGCAATGTTAGGACTCCTTTTATAGAGATAGCAGGAGTGTCGCCATAACTAGAGGGCCAACTTAGATCTTTGCACTAAAAAAATTAAAAATACAGCTTGAATTTTACAAAGGACACAATACAATTATTTTATGTATTTTTCAAGTTAATGACTTTAGATACAAACTGTACAAGGAAACTTACTGAAACCTCCTGTTTCATCCACATTAAAATAATCTGACATTTAAAGTTCTCAATATCACATCAATCTCTTTGAGACTAAAAATCAAATACTTCCACCACACCTACCAATTTATTTTCTTTAGATTCTTTATTATATACTATTTTCTGCAAAATATTATAAAACTCTAAATTCCAAAGATGTAATGATGGCCCATTCCCCAGAAGAGAGCAATAATATATGCTAATACTGTCTAAATATTCAATTTTGTAAGAAAAGTTGGTGTGCACTATAATAATGTACCTGTAATACTGTGATCCAGATTTGCTCTGCTGAAGAATTATAAAACACCTTCACATTCAATCTCCCCAGATCTCTTTCATCTCCTGACAGAGTAATCGTATCTGAATTGTAAAAGGACAAAGATGTTTGAGATACTACGCAATCCTTCTAACCCAATTAAGCTTTGATACAATTCGATTTTAAAGGCAAAATAGAAAAATGCTACAATTATTTTTTAAAGTTGACGATTTAATAAAACAAACATCACCTTTAATGTTTTACTGAAGTGCTAGGGGGAAGATATACTATAAAAAGTAATACATGGGCCCTGGCTCATGTGGGCTAGTGGTTAGAGTGTCACCCATGCCCCGTAGGGTTGCAGGTTTGATCCCCGGGCCCCAGTCAGGGGCTAGTGTGGGAGGCAACCAACTGATGTGTGTGTGTGTGTGTCTCTCTCTCTTTCTTTCTGTATGCCTCTCTCTCTCCCTACTTCCCTCTCTCTCTTCCCCTTCTTCCTGTCCTTCTACTCTCTCTAAAAATCAGTGGGAAAAAATATCCTTGGGTGAGGATTAACAAACAAACAAAAAAGTAATGCATGGCTTAAAATCTTAACCCAATTATAACCTGAGAAATTTAAGTTAAAATAGAAACTTTCCCCCAAATAATATTAATATGGACTTAATACTCTATACTTCAGCAAGTTCCTTACTAATATACTTTAGAACAAACCAACAATGGATATATTTAACCGCTCCACTTTTAAAAAGATGTATTCACGTCTGAACACTAAAACAGAGTCCATCTGATGTGCATATTTATACACAGGTAACACTGCCAACACATATATAACTGGAGGCCCGGTGCACGGATTCCTACACAGGTGGGGTCCGTCAGCCTGGCCTGCACCCTCGGGGGATGCAGCAGTGCCAAAGCGGCATGTGGCCAGGAAGGAGCCCCAGCCGGGCCTTTCATCCTGGCCCTGCTGCGCCTGCTGCAGCGTGGAGGCAGGAGAGGCTCTCAATGCCGCAGCTGTGCTCGCCAGCCGTGAGCCCAGCTTCTGGCTGAGCTACGTTCCCGCTGCAGGAGCGCACTGACCACCAGGGGGCAGCTCCTGCACTGAGCGTCATAGCGACCGGTTGACCAGTCGTTCGGTTGTAACAGTCACTTAGGCTTTTATATATATAGATTATCTAGAGTTTCTCTTATTGTATCATATATACTTTCAAATTACTATTGGGTAGAAATAATTCCCTTAAGAATATAAAAATAGGGTACTTTATTCCTTACCCAAGCTTCTGTTGCTCCCCTGAGAATTTTTCCTCGATGAAGAGCTGCTAGGCACACTGGACAGTGAATCATGTCTCTATAAACAGAGTTCTTTAGTCAGAAACTGCATGTCAAACTTGAAGGCGTCTGAAATAATACCTACCCTACTACCAAAATGCATGCTAACCATTTTGACAGTTACTGATCGGAATTTTCCACTTTTAGATAGAAAAGATTTCTGTGTGTGCTATCAGGAAAATCTCACATATCTTACTAGATAATATATGGAAAAGCCTTTGCTGTTTGGTTTGGTTTGGTAATAAGGATGAAGAGATTATGCCTATGTTTCAGATTTAAAGGTACTAATAAAAATCTGAGTATATTTGCAAGTGCCCTGCTACTTAACAACCTGTAAAGCAACAGTTATTCCAGCATGGTCCCTCTGGACCGAGAGTACAGCATCACCTGGGAAACTATTAGAAATACAAACTCACTGCAGAGCTACTAAATTGAAAGCTCTGGGGGTGAAGCCTGGCATTCTGTATTTTAACAAGCTCTCTACACAATTCCAATGCATGCTAAAGAACTGGTGCTACAAAGAATTAAGTTTGCAAAAATTTAATTCAACTGAGATTATTTAGAATACACTTCATTTTAATAAAATATATGTATATATGTTCACGTGAAAAAAATCCACAAATATGTAAAAACAGTATTTGCACAGTGTTTTTACTCAGTTATAGGAATATAGGTGATTTGTCTTTTTACTTTGCTTAAGTCTACTTTCTAAGTTTTAAATAATAATCACAGTTCACTTGTATTAAGAAAAGAAACATTTTTTAAATGTCAAAAATTTGTCAATTCTATTTGAAACATAGGACAGTATTTTAATATTACTGAATAATTAAAGTTCTACATCTCAATAGTAATACTACTTTTTATTAACTAGTTATGTTCATTAAAGAAAGTAAAATCAATAAGCACTTTTAAATATATACCATCTTAAATTCCAAGTATCTGTGTGCTTACCAAATGAGAGATATAAGACACATAAAAAAACAAACAGAAACTACTGTCTTTTTTATTCACTTGAAAGCTAAAATAATGCACATGGGAAATATCAAGTGTTTTCCTAAGAGGTATGAGAATAGATACATCTACATAAGATGCAAAGCATGTTGTTCCTAATGTAATTTACACGCTTTTGAAATTTTAGCTTGAAAATAAATTATCGGATATAATTAAATTGATATAAATAATTTACCTGCATGAACTTCTGTGATGAACTTGTAAGATCAAACATAGACTTGCTTAGCCCGGGGGAACCAGGGAGTTTGTTGGTCCTTAAATCACAAACTACAAAAAGACGTAAGTAAATTACTTATAGTAAAAAAGAAGAAATTCTATTTAGTTACAATGAATTAAATCTTTTTAGGAATATATCATGACTATTATGCACAAATCTACTTACGAGATAAAACCTAACAAAATTTTAAAAATTTTTTCAATTATTTTACTTTGTTTGAAACAAAAACCAATAAAAATCAAACAATACATTTTTACATCCACATCAAATATCAAGCAGGGAAAATTCATTATTTTCGCTACATTCCTCAATTCTTCATCTCATAAGAATAATCAAAGAGGTAAGTCCTCTGCGCTAAATGCAAGTCAACTATTTAATGAGCACTTTTTTAAAAAAAATCAACACCAAATCCTAGGTGATCCTATATTGCTAGTTTCCCTCCTGAACTGTAAGATCCTCGAAGAATAGAACTCTGCATACTAATGTGTATTCTAGCACAGTACTGAAAAGTACTTAAATATTTCTGCTTTATTTTTAGTGCCTGAATTCAATGTTGAGACAGATATATGACCTGAAGAACAGTGAGAAATTTGTGAATTAGATATGTACAAGACAGACTATAACTGATGCAGTTTCAAATATGAAACTAAGAAAGTTCTAAATATCACTTAGGCATTTTCTATTTTCTTTGTTTACATTGGTAAACCTATCATGTTTCTAAATATATCATTTTTATTAAATAGAGCAGAAAAGGAACATTTATGAATGGATAGATGATATATAAAATATATCAAAATAATCTGTAAACAAAACTTTTTTTTTCAAAAAAGGACAAATCAAATGGAATTTAGAACTCACTACCACATACAACTTATTAGTCTTTCCATTTGTATATTAGATGTAATGCCACAAAGAGGTCAGGATGCTTATCTCGGCACTTCTGAAGCCTGCTTTCCCCTTATTTGTAAATTGTTTTCCGTAATAAGAATCATCTCTTCCGGGGTCTCTGGTTTAATCTGACTTGGACATTTTTTGCTAAAAGAGAAACACAGAGAGCCAGCACGGCTGCCCCAGCTGAGGAGGAGAAAGTGGGAGGAAAGAAAGAAGGATCTGGGAGTCTGATGGGCTTTGGTCTTTTTGACTAAACCTCTCTTGTAACACGTTCAATAAAAAGCTGAACTCTGAGAAAAAAGCAAGAACTACAAGGAGGGGGAAAAAAACACACAAAAAATTTCAAACCTGATCCATACAGTCTTGTCACTTCTGCAGTAGGGGGAAAGCGCCGACTCAGATCTGGGGAAATGTGCTGATACATATAGAACGGGTTGTACACGTCATAGCTGGATCCAGGGTGGGAGGAGCCGGAAAGTTCTGCCTTTCGATCCCCAAAAGATGCTCTGGCCGATCCTGAAAGCAAATGTTCCTAAAGTTTTATGACGTCCTTTGCTTGGAGTTACTAGCCAACAGCTAGTGCATTCAAGGCAAAAGGGAAAAAATTTGTTTCGAGTAATATTAACTCGCATGTGTTTGATATCTAAAAAAATAAGCACACTTTTACTGAGCTCTAAGTGTGTGGAGTATCCTGCCAGGGACCAGCCATGAACCCTGCTCTCAAGACAGTCTGGTAAATTTTTGACATTTTTCTTTGCCCCTAAGCACACTATTCCAAAATGTTGTGGACAATTCTGTATTTTGTGACTGGAGTTTCCTTTTATTTTTCTACTTACACAAAGAACATCTTTTAAGTAAAAAGATGATCTCTTTTGAGAAATGTGCTCTTTTCACGAAGACCACAACATTTATAAAAACGGACCACAACCTCATTTCTGTCTGGCATCTTTTTGTTGTTGTTGTTAATCCTCATTGTTTTTCCATTGTTTTTTAGAGAGAGTGGAACAGAGGGGAGAGAGAGGGGGAGAGAGAGAGAGAGAGAGAGAGAGAGAGAGAGAGAGAGAGAGAGAAAGAAACATCAATGTGAAAGAGACACATCGATTGACTGCCTCCCCCACCCACCCTGATGGGGGCGGGGGAATTGACTCTGCAACCCAGGTTCACTCCCTTGACCAGGAATTGATTCTTCAGTGTGCAGGCCGATGCTCTAACCACTGAGGCCACCAGTCAGGGCTTGGTCTGACATCTTATCAGGACATCAGTGGTAGCAGCTGCTCTTCGAGTTCGCTATACGGCCCAAGAATGACAAGAAGAAGAACGATGCCAGAAAGTCAGCTAAGAAAGACAAAGACCCAGCGAACAAACGTGGGGGCAAGGCCAAAAAGAAGTCGTGGTCCAAAGGCAAAGTCTGGAACAAGCTCAATAACCTGGTCTTGTTTGACAAAGCACCACATGGCAAACTCTGTAAGGAAGTTCCCAACGAGAAGCTTATAAGCCCAGCTGTTGTTGCTGAGAGACTGAAGGCAGAGAGAGCTTCCTTGGCCAGGGACTTATTAAACTGGCTTCAAAGCACGGAGCTCAGCTAACTTACACTGCAAACACCAAGGGTGGGATGCCCCAACTGTTGGAGAAGAGGCACAAACAAACTGTACATTTTGAAAAATAAAATGTTATTAAATAAAAAAGAAGAAACTGACCATATGCTGAGATACACAGAGCCAGTCTCAACAAATTATAAAGAACCGAAATCATAAAGAGTATGTTCTCTAACACCAATGCAATAAAGTTAGAAATCAAATTGCAAAACGGATAGGAAATATTTATATTGAAACATAAAGGACCAAAAATAATAAAAAAGGTAATCTTTAAAAACACAAGATTGAAAGATTAGCTCTACGGGGTATTAAGAAAGGAATACTGGCACCAACGATAAGATCAATGGAACAGAATAGAAGGCCCAAAAGAGACACCCATTTTATCGATACTTGATTTATAATCAGTGTGGCATTGGCACTTTTCACTAAAAGGGATAAGACAACTGAATATTGATATAGCGAAAACAACAACAACCTTCATCCCAACTAAATATATTCACAAAAATTAATTCCTTGTGGATTGTGGCTCTAAAATAATGTTAAAGGCAAACCAATAAAACTTCTACATTAAGTACATTTATCAGAAAGTCTTCCTAGCCTTAGGGCAGAGAAGCACTTCTTAAAGGGAACATAGCCTTAATCATTACAAGTTTTTAATAAACTCAACTATATTAAATTTGAAATTTTCCAACTCTTCCATTTCCAAAGACTATTTAAGAGGGTAAAGAGGTAACCCCCAGAGGGGAGAAGATATGTGCAAAAATATAACTAACAAAGTGCTTATATCCAGAATTTATGAGGAACTCCCACAAATCAATAAGAAAAAGACAAGCAAGCCTATACGTAAATTAGCTTAAGACTTAAGCAGACACTTCAAGAAGAGAGTCTATTCAAATAGCCAATAAACATGATCTGGTGCTCAATCTCACTGACCATGAGGGAAATTAAAACTCTAATAAGATACCACTACATGCTCACCAGAATGGTTAAAATTAAAAAGCTGACAATAGCAAGTGTTGGCAAGAAAGCAGAGCAATGTGAATGATCATACTCTGCTGATGAAAATGTAAATTGATATAATCCCTGTGGAAAAGTTTGCTAACTTCTACTAAAGCTAACGATATTTCTAACCTACAACCCCAACATGCCATTCTGGGACATATACACCACTGAAATGCTTGTACATGTGCACCAAGAGACAAGTACAAGAATCTTCATAAGCATCATTATACACAATAGCCAAAAACTGGAAAAAAAACTCAAATGCCCATCAACAGTAAAAATAGATGAACTGCAGTATATACTTGATACATAAAAATATCTTATGCAATGGTCGCCAATCAGTGATCTGCGGACCACTGGTGGCCTGGGAAGTCCAAAAGGTTGGCGACCGTTGCCTTATAGTATGCTATACAGGAACACTTCTGTATCTCACCATTAGACAACAATAGATAAATACACTCTGTGTACAGATATGAAAACAAACTGAAGCTTACTAACAACAATCTGAGTAAACTTCACAAACATAATGCTGACTGAAAGAACCCACAAACAAAAGAATATATACTGAATATGTTATTTCATTTACATAAAGGTCAGAAAACATACAAAAAACGAAGCCATAACATTTAGGAATATGTACTTAGGTGGTAAAAAGTAAGAAAAGCAAAAAAGCGATACTGATTACTCTGAAGTGACTGAAAAGGGAAAGATGGAAGCTTTGGGGTTGCTGGCTTTACTCTCTTTACTTGAGTGGTGACTATACACATGATTTGCTGTGTAATAAATCACTGCACGATAGATTTCTTTGTTCCTTTTTCTACATGTGTTTTATATTTAGATCAAATTTTCTTCAAAGCTTATAATCACACTGGAAATAATATATACACATAAAGTTTTTTAAATGTTTAAATCATCACCATGTTTTCATTCTTTTTGTTCCATTTAAAACAGAACCCACAGTATAAAGTAGTATTTTCTGAATTAAGCTAAACAATAAAGCAGGTAGCTTGACATTGAGTCAGAAAAGAAAAATAAATATGAGGTTATGAGGTGAGATTCTATCCTCATCCTGTTTCAAAAAACGATGTATGCAATCCAAGCACAGCCCATGGTCAGAGGGGTGCCAGGAGGGAGCTATGATGCCAGAGAGCCTAAAGAGTGTGCACCCCTATGAGCTAACACTTGACTCATTCAACACATAAACAATACAAACGTCTATGGTAACAAGAATAGCACTGTCAAGAGTATGACTCACTGCCTTTATAGGCTATACCTAAAAAGGAATATTCTGATTTCATTTTTCCTTTATAAGTAAGCCACTACAGAATTCCAATTTTCCCCTCAAACAGTACCCAGTGATAGCAGTTTTTAAGTTCAAGAGGAATTTCTCTCAATTTACAGAACCACACTGTTGTAAAGTTGCATAATTGCCAACACATCTCAAAAGCCCTATTTGAAATTTCAATATTAATTCAAAATGTATCCTCTGGATGGCTAGGTAGGTAGGTGATAAAGCCAGCACAGTAAAACTTTAATGATAGATCTGTCTGCTATCAAAGCAGGAGTCTACAGCTGTGATCAGACTCATTAGCAAGTAATGCGACAAAACAAATTTCAAATATGTGAAACATAATTTAAGTCACAATTGATACTGGTCTGCTCTATCTTCTTCTTAAAATCTCCATGTCAGCCCATCACTCACACATGCATTTGCACATACAGCTTACACATATTTTACTTCTATAATTAGGTACCAAGAAGACCTTCCCGACTTCAGTTATATAAAGTGATTCTCTCTCCAATATGCTAAAAATCAGATGGCTTCACCACATCCTCCGTGAGCCTATAATCTAATATAAGCCAATTTCTGACTCAGTCAGCTAAAAAAGTAATATTTATTAACGATACAATGAAAAAGAAAAATGACCACATATTGCCAGGTAGGTATTTCTTACTTATTTTCTGATTATGAACCCCCCCCCACATAAAATACTTTAAATGTCTAAGAATAGATAATTTATAAATCGTGGTACATCCATATAATTTAATACTATAAAGCCATTAAAAAGTAATGAATATGAAAACATGTTCATAACAGATGATGTGAATAAAATAAATTGCAAGACTGTTTACATGGCTTAATCCCAATGTTGTTAAACAGGTATGAGAGAAAGAGAAAAGTCAATAAATCATGGTATCCTGTGAGCCAGAGCTTTTAAAAACTATTTTTTAGAGATATATGAAAAATAAGACATAAGGTTCATCTTTCCTTGTTTCTTAAAAAAAAAATAAATCACTCCTACTAGACCTTATTCGCTTATAGATAACACTAAACTCTACACCAAAACCCAAAGGCACTGGAGCATAAATAAAAGCAATGCAGATTCTGGACAGGATTTGACTGTTGGAAAAAAAGAGAACAGTACAAAATTAGTTACCTGTTTTTAATAACTTTTAGCCTAAGGGCAGGCCAAAGTTGGCACTGAGCAGGGCGGGTAAAACTCCAATAGAAAATTCAGTCTTTCTGGCCTGAAGAACCAGAAGGCAAAGTTCAGAGCAATCGCAGCAGCTAGAAAGTAAGGTGGGAATCTTGGAAAGGAGAAAACCCCAGATTATGTGAATAAAGTCTGCTCAAATACCTGGCTGGTCCCTGAACCACACATGTGTGGGACAGACTCCAGCTAAGGATAATAAAACTAGGCTGAGGTAAGAGCTGCCACTACCAAGTTGCAGAATCCAACCAAGTTAATTGCCTGCTGAAAAAAAAAAGAAAAGAAAGAAAAAAATAACCCTCTGAGTAATATAACAGATTTGAATCCCTAAAATATAATATCCAACATCCGGAATACAATCCAAAGTTACCAAACACGAAGAAACGGGAGAATATGACCCATATCTCAAGCAAAAAGACAATACACCGAATTCAAACCTAGATGACCTCAATGTCAGAACTTTTAGACAAACATGGTGAAGTTCAAAAATATAAAGGAAAATGGCTCAAAGTAATGAAAAATATATGTCTAAAACAGAAAATTCAGTGGATAGGCTTAACAACTGAATGGAGATAACAAAGGAAAGAGACAAATAACTGGAAGATAGATCAATATTATCCAATCTTAAGACCAGAAAAAGAAAAAAAAGATCGGGGGGGAAAAAAAAGAAGTCTCCGAAACACATAAAACAATATCAAAGAGTCCTACATATGTGTAATTGGAAACCCAGAAGAAGAGAAAAAGGAACAGAAAAAAATATTTGAAGAAATATTCTAGGTCTCGATAGTTTTTATTACACTAGTATATGCATTTTTCAAACTCAAAAATTACACACTTAAAACTTGGGCAGCTCACTGCATGTAAAGTTTGTGTTGAAAGAAGAAGACTAAACAGATGCTGAACTCTAGTAAATTATATAAATGCTTAAATGTTTAGAGGAAAGTCTACTAATGCCCAGAATTTACTCCGACATGCATCCTCCTCCACAAGAAAGTATTAATAACGCACAGAGAAATGAATAGATGAATATATGTGATAGGAAGTATACTAAAATGTAAAAATCTATATGATAGATATGTAGAGGTATTTACCACTAAATTCTTTCAATTTTTCTTTCAAATTCTTTCTGTATGTTTGAAACTTTCCATAATAAAATTCTGAGAAAAAATAATCATTGTGACTGTTTCAATCCACTAGAACAAATTATTTTTAAAATACAAGAGTTACATGTTGTTTCCTCTTCATTAGTCCATTGACCTCTACAATATCAGCCAAAATTCAAGCCAATGAACCTACCTCATTCAAGCAGCTATTTAGACTGGCAAGTGTACTTATAGACTGGGGAGCATCGTGGTGAAGAAAGATGGGAAGGAAGAAAGACTACTTCATTGCTTCTTTATTTCTCTTTACACCAAACTTTAGAAAACAGTAGACAGAATGTTTCCTCTATTTACTGATCAAATCCAGAGTAATTCCTCTATTTTTTCTTTCTACATGTATGAAGGATAACTGATTATAATTATAATAGTGGCCCGGTGCACGGATTTGTGCACATTGAAAGGAAATTAATTAGAAGGAAGATTCGTGCCCTGGCTGGTTTGGCTCAGTGGGTAGAGCATCAGCCTGCGGACCAAGAGGTCCCAGGTTCAATTCCGGTTAAGGGCATGTACCTTGTTTGCGGGCACATCCCCAGTGGGAGGTGTGCAGGAGGCAGCTGATCGATGTTTCTCTCTCATCGATGTTTCTAGCTCTCTATCCCTCCCTTCCTCTCTGTAAAAACAATAAAATATATTAAAAAAGAAAAAAAGAAGGAAGATTCATGCGGAAATTACGTTACTGCAAAAAATTACATGTCAAAATAGTATATATAATATAGTATTATAAAATTAAAATACAAAATATTTTAATATGTATCGTGCATGCGCGAGTCAACATTTATTTTTAAATTGCCAGTGTGCATCATATGTACCAGACGGTCGGTCACATGCGATTGGTGCCAGCGAGAGCTTTATATGTATAGCGCATGTGCGAGTCGGTCGGTCGGACGGTCAGACGTACGTACAGTTGGTCACTCAGCCTTTTATATAGAGAGATTATTCCTTTAAAAAAGGCCAAATCTAGATACAAATGTGTTGTATTAAGTTCAGATTTCATAATGAGAGCTTTCAAAAATACTATACATTAAGTTCCTCTACAGAAAGAGCAGAACACAAAAAGCGAAATGTAAAATTTGTGTATAAAAGATATACCTTTATGTTAAATAGAGCGATAACAGCGTTGAAAGGCTACATGCTGATTTTTAAAACCCGGCATTTTCTTGTTTACCTTCAAGTTCTTCTAGATGTGAAGGAGTTCCTTGCGTCCTGGGCTGAATATACGATAACTTAAACTTGGGCACCACAAATGGTACTTGTTTGCCATCAGATGGTAACTTGGAAAGTAAATAATCCTCAGTACAGCCAACCTGAGGCTTTACACAAACAGACGTCAATGGAGGGACACAGACGGCAGTATTTTGACTACTTGAGACTGCTGTTTTAGCTTCCACAGAAACTGCATGGAAGAAAAGGGAAAAGAAAAGAAAAAAAATCACAAATACGTACTCAGACTTATATATAAAAATCTAAACCTAGCATGCTTTGGTATTTATCCAATCACTTCAGAAGAAACGGCTGATCCATAAACCACTCTTGGGTCCTATCAAGCACTTCTGGCCTCTACATTAATTCTGTCCAGCCAATATTCGAGCAATTAATACACTACCGCCAAAGTCTATTAACATCGTAATGGTGAAAGGAGGCTTTAAAGACTCATTCCCACAAGAGTTCATACAAGGAAAAACAAGTTTATTTTGAAGTTAATTGCACAATACTTTCAAGTGAAATCTAGTCATTTAAAACTACTCTCAACAAAGCAATTCTTTCTTCTTGTCAATACTAATGGTTACATCAGTCTTGAATACATAAAGCAATTCTGAAAAACCTACTTTTAAGTCTCTAAGTCTACAAAAGTCTTCACCAAATCACAAAATAAAATATACACTGACCCTAACATGATAGCAACTCTCCTTGTGCTAGCTTCTCTGACCTACTTTGTTCGATAGAACGATATATAATTCCTAAAATGAGGGAGTTAGATGGGGAGGTAAGGGACACCCAGAGTTAATCCACCTGTAATACTCATGTCCAATCCTCCTCTCCCTTACTTCCTTCTTCCCACTCAGCTTGCTAACATCCTCCTCATATTTCCACACCAAATGCCACCTTCTTTGTGGGATTGTCCCAGGGTGCCTCCTGGGTTGAATTCATCTCTCCCCACTATGCCCCAGGTATTTTAATACTTACCTAGCGTGCCTTATATTTATGTTTCTGCCTCCCTCATGCAGTTAGGAAATATGTCTCATTTATTTTTATATTACAAAATGCCACAAGTAAGGGGACATTAAATAAATGTTTGTTGAAGTCATAAAACGAAACTCACCGTTGTGCTTTTCTGTTTCACCATAGAAACATCCCCTACAGCAACTCTTTATAAATTCTGTTGCCATTACACTCAATTTCCAATATCCAGCAAAAGATGCACGCTTCCAACTTTAATATTAATCTGTTGGTAGAAAAGAAAACAAGTTAAAATAATCATGCTTAATGTCATTAGGTATCACCAAATAAATCAAATTATCTGTCTTTCTAAGATGTTCAAATATTCAGAGGAAGGTAGATTTTTTTGTTCCTATTTGTAATTTTTATAACCTGGGCTCCTTATAAGTTAATAAAAATGGAATTGAACAACCTCAATGTTAAATGTGAAAAAAAATCCCCACTCTCCATTTTCTCTTTAGACTCATATATCTAAATTGATGTCCAAGCAAAATTTGAAACATAAAATGGCCCTCATAAAAAAGTGTGAAAAAAAATTCACTTGCTCCAAATCAATTCTTTTGGTAACCCAAAGACCTTATAATGGGGGCCAATAAAAAAATAATTTCATACTTTATGAGTTAGCTTAGTGCTTAGAATTACACTAGCAGAAAAATATACCTTAAACACTGTAACACATACATGCAATGCTATCTAAGTCACAAATAAGAGATGTTGAAAATAAAGGGGGTCTGTTAAGTTTACCAGAAATGTAAGACTGTATGAGGAGACACATTTGTTGTAGGAACAGTGCACCAATCACAAGACACATTTCATGGACAAGCTAACCTGGCATTCAAGAACAAGACTCCCCCTGGCTTTTGGGTTCAAGATGGCAAACTAGGAAGATCCTGAGCTCACCTTCTCTCATTGACACCAAAACTACAACTTCACGCAGAACAGCCATCTCGGAGAGCAGCCCGAGGACTAGCAGAACAGGTTTCCCACAACTACGGATGTAAAGAAAAGGCCACACTGAGACGGGTAGGAAGGGCAGAGACTCGGTCTAGGCAGGACCCACCCTAACCCCCATTCCCCATGTGGTGGCTCACAAGTGGGAGGGATATCACAACTACAGAGGTCCCCCACCAAGAGCGAGGGGTCCAAGCCTCAGCCTGGGGGACCTGCACCAGGAGGAGGAGCCTCTAGAGCAGTGGTTCTCAACCTTCCTCATGCCGCGACCCTTTAATACAGTTCCTCATGTTGTGGTAATTCCCAACCATAAAATTATTTTCATTGCTACTTCATAACTGTGATTTGCTACTGTTATGAATCGTCATGTAAATATCTGATATGCAGGATGTATTTTCATTGTTACAAATTGAACATAATTAAAGCATAGTGATTAATCACAAAAACAATATGTAATTATATATGTGTTTTTCAATGGTCTTAGGCGACCCCTGTGGAAGGGTCGTTCCACCCCCAAAGGGGTCGCGACCCACAGGTTGAGAACCACTGCTCTGTAGCATCTGGCTTTGAAAACCAGCAAGACTTATTCTGAGAGAGCCAAAGGGCTGTGGGAAACCCAGGTTGTGCTCTTTCTGAGTTCCGGCACGCAGGCAGCGGTTTGCAAAGCACCCGTGTCATATATGAAGGTGATAGATACATGGACCAACTTTAGGACATGTGCTGGAGGGGCAGGGATCTTTCTCCAGAGTCCAGAGTGCTACTGGGCGCCACTTTCCCCCTCTGCTTTACTCTCTTTCCACCTAACTGGTCTGATGCTGGCAGGCGCCATTTCTGACTTTCCATTAACCTTGCGAATACTGTTCAGCCCCTAGCATTTCCCTGACGACCTCTCCAAAGCCTGCCACACCGGTGGGCGACCTCAGCCAGCATCTGTGCACAGCAACGTGTCTACAACAGTCTGCAAAGCTGAAGATATGCATTGTAAACCGTAAAGCAACCACTAAATAAGAAAACAGGGGTTTAACTAATAAGCTAAAAAGCTGATCAGATGGAATTATAGGAAAAGATTCTTAATGTAACAGAAAGCAGAAAAAGGGAGGGGCAAAGAAGAACTGAGATGAACAGTACACAAACAGCAAGATTATACAGCAGGTGGAACACAAAAACAGGTGGGATGAATAGGAAATAGCAAAATGATACATTTAAACCTAACTATGTCAATAACCACATTAAGTATAAATGCTTTAAATATGCCAATTAAAAGGCAGAGATTGTTAAGACTGGATAAAAAAGCATGACCCAAGTATATGCTGGCTATAAGAAATGTACTTTAAATATAGACACAAATAATTTTATAGTCAAAGGATGGATATCCCTCATGAATATAGACACAAAGATCCTCAACAAAATACTAGTAAACTGAACCCAGAAACGTTTAAGTAGGATTATACATCATAAGGAAGTGAGCTTTATCCTAGGATGGCAAGGCTGGTTTAACATCTGAATATCAATGCATGTAATACATTACATAATAAAATAATCAACAAAAACTACATGATCATCTCAATAGATTAAAAAAAAATCTGAAAATTCCAATACTCTTTCATGCTAAAAGAAAGAAAGCTGATCAAACAAGGAATAGGAGAGAATCTTCTCAACGAAATACAGAGCATCTATGTAGCTGCTGAAAGACTGAATGCTCTCCCGCTAAGCCCAGGCAAAAGACAAGGCTGTCTACTCACCAACTCCCGTTCAACGCTGTCCTGTAGATTCCAGCCAGCACAATCAGGCTAGAAAGCTACAAAGGGCATACATCCTGGAAATAAAGAAATAAAATTCTTTATTTAAAGACAAATTTGACCTTGCAAATAAAAAGAGCAAAGGAATCCACTAAAAACTAGCAGATGCAATAAACAAGTTGCATGCAGTGTTCAAAGCATAAGGTTTATATACAAAAATTAATTGTACAGGGTGAGGCAAAAGTAGGCTTACAGTTGTAAGTATGTGAAATACAGAGTTTATTCTTGTATTATTATTTATTGTGTTATTTCCCATATGAACTGTAAACCTATTTTTGTCCCAACCTGTATTTCTATATACTAAAAATGAACAATCTAAAACTGAAATTAAGAAATCTATTCCGCCGAAACCGGTTTGGCTCAGTGGATAGAGCGTCGGCCTGCGGACTGAAAGGTCCCAGGTTCGATTCCGGTCAAGGGCATGTACCTGGGTTGCGGGCACATCCCCAGTAGGAGATGTGCAGGAGGCAGCTGGTCGATGTTTCTCTCTCATCGATGTTTCTAACTCTCTATCTCTCTCCCTTCCTCTCTGTAAAAAATCAATAAAATATATTAAAAAAAAAAGAAATCTATTCCATTCATAAAAACATCTAAAACAAACCCTAAAATATTTAGGAATACCTTAAAAAGAGAAGTGAAAAACTTGTACACTGAAATCTATAAAATATCATCGAAAGATATTAAAGAAGCCTTCAATAAATGAAAAGATATCCCATGTTCATGGGTTGGAAGATATAATATTATTAAGATGGCAACACTCCCTGAATTTTCTACAGATTTAACACGATCCCTTCCAGCTTCTTTCTAGAAAGAGATCCTAAAATTCATATGGAAATGCCAAAGACACAGAGCAGCCATAACAATCTTGAAAACCAAGAACAAAGTTGAAAAATATACTTCTCAAAATTTACTACAAAGCTAAAATAATTAAGGCTGTGATATTGGCAAAAGGAGGACATATGGATCAATGAAATAAAAACGAGAGCCTAAAAATAAGCCTTTATGTTTATGGTCAATCAATTTTTAATAAGGTGCCAAGAAATTTTAAAAAAGAAAAGAATAGTCTTTACAACAGATGGTGCTGGGACAACTGGATATCCACATGCAAACAACAACAAAAAGTAAAGAAACTGGATGACTACCACATACTGCACATAAAAATTAGCTCAAAACTCATCGCCTATATATATGAGCTAACATCACGAAACTCCTAGAAGAAAACACAGAGGTAATTAGTTCTTTATAAACATGGATTAGGCACTGATTTCTTAGATATGACCCCAAAAGCACCGCAATAAAAAAAAAATTTTGATATATTAAATGTAATCAAAATTTACAACTTTGTGCTTCAAACGACACCATCAAGAAAGTGAAAAGCAACTCAGAGACAGGGAGAAAATATTTGCAAATCATAAATCCAAGAACGAGCTTATATCCAGAATATATAAAGGCCTATTACAACTCAATGACAAAAGAAAAACATCACAATTTTAAAATAGGCAAAGAATTTGAATAGACACTTCTCCAAAGAAATATACAAGTGGACAAAATAGCACATGAAAGTATGTTCAACACTCTTAGTCATTAGGAAAATGCAAATTAAAACTACAATGAGATAGTACTATACACTAATTAAAAAGGATAAAATTGCAAAGTCTAGCCATTCAAGTGTTTGCAAGTGTGCAGAACAAGTAGAACTCTCATATTCAAATCGTGGCAATATAAAATGGTTTGACAGTTTCTTAACTTAAACATACATCTACCATATGATCTAGACATTCAATTCCTTGAGTAAATATACTCAAGGAAAAAGAAATCATATATCCACATAAAGACGTGTACACTGCTGTTCATAGCAGCTCTATTTGAAATAGTAAAAAGCTATCATCTCCATCATCAAGTGAGTAAACACATTATATAAAATCTATACAATGAAATACTACTCCGCAATCGGGGAATAACCCATCTGTGGATTGATGTCTTTCCACCAGTGCTAGTAGATTTTCCAGTACTAAAAATCTTCATTCTCTTTTTAAATATTGCTTTGCCTATTCTCAATGTATTAGACTTTCTCACTATAATTTCTCATTCTGATCATTCTAATTTCCATGCCTCTTAATTTTTCTCTTTTCCATTTGTCTTTTTGAGCTGCATTCTGAATGATTTATTCTGACCTATATTCTAGTTCACTGATTCTTGGGGTTTGCCTAATTGCCTAATCAGTGGTTAAACTCAATAAATGAATTTTGATTTTTTTTTATTACTGCATTTTTTATGAATAGCAATTACACTGTTCTTTTTTAACCAGCTCTGTATCTCTGTCACTTTTAAGCCTTCTGCTCCCTGCATCTATTTTTTAAACTTGTCTGTTATATGTGTAAAATAGCCCGTTGTAGTTGCTTTAATAATCTGTGACTGGTAATTCCAATACATAAGGCTTTTATAATTTTACTTCTCATTGCCTGTTGTTTCTGCTGATTCTTGCTCAGGTTGTCTTATTCCCTTGTGTACTTGGGTTATCTTTGACAATAAATTATTCACTGACTTCAAAACTTTAAATCAAAGGTGACAGTATACTCCTACAGAGAATATTTGCATTTGCTTACAGATGATTTTAACTTCATGCTTTCACCAATAACCCAATTTTCAAATGGGCAAAGGATGTGAATAGACATTTCTTCAAAGAAGATGGACAAATGGCCAATAAACACATGAGAAGGTCTCAACATTATTAGTCATTAGGGAAATGCAAACCAGAAACACAATGAGGTACCACTTGACGCACACTAGGATGGATCTAGTGAAAAGGACAGATACAGTGTTGGCAAGGGTGTGCGGAAACGGGAACCCTCATACGTTGTTGGTGGGAATGAAAAACGGTGCAGCTGCTCTGGAAAAACAATTTGGTAGCTGGTGACGGATGGAGACTTGACTTGGAGTGCTGAACACACAATACAGTGTACAGATGACGCGCTGTAGAATTGTGCACCTGAAACCTGTATACTTTTGTTAACCAGTGTCACCCCAAACCCCAGTAAATTCAATTAAAAGGAAAAAAGCAATTCTGAGGAATTGGAAGAAATTCAATGTTTGGAAATAAAATTAAGTCGAAATTTTAAGTAATTAATAAAAGAAAAACAGTTTGGTAGTGCCCCTAAAACTTAAACACAGAGTTACCATATGACCCAGGAATTCCACTCCTAAATATACCTATGAGATTGAAAAATTTATTTCCACACAAATGTTCATAGCACATTACTCATACAGTGATAGCCAAAAAGTAGATACAACCCAACTGTCCATTACTAATGAGTAGAAAAACAAAATGTAGTATATTTATACAATGGAATATTGTTCAGGTATAAAAAGGAATAAAGTACAGATTCATGCTACAACATGAAAAAACCTCAAAAACATTGCACTAAGTGAGCACAGCAAGAAACAAAGACCACATATTGTATGATTTCATTCATATGAGATGCCCAGAATAAGCAAATCCAGAGACAGGATGTAGATTCGTGACTGCCTGGGGCTTGGGGGCAGGGAAGCAGTGAGTGACTGCTAGTGGGTACATGGTTTCTTACCACGGTGATGAAAATGTTTTGCAATTAGATAGTGATGATGGTTGCACAACTTTGTGGGTAGAAAACCCACTAAATTGTACACTTTTCTGGCCTGAGTTTTATGGTATGGACATTATATCTCCCAAAAACATGAATTTTAAAAATTCACATTTTGACATTTTTTATGACCACCACTGGGATGCAAATTTCTCCCATGGTCTGGTGGTTGCATTTCCTAAGGACAGGCTTCTTACCCCTCTGATTTACTTGGCATCAAGGCAACTTTCACTGCAGATCCTTGAAGGAGGTAGATTGAATTTTCATCCCTTACATGATAGCACAGACATCTGGGATCCCAGAATTATGGGCAGTCTCTGGTTAGCGAACCTTGACTGAGCCCTGTGCTGACTTCTAAGTATGCCTCCCATCCTGCAAATCCACCAAGTTCTTACTCAAAGCCAATCAAGTTGTCCCGCCCTCAGACACCCCCCCCCCCCTCCCTC